TCTGTACATCATCAAGTGGTTCTCATGTATATGGCCTTTTCAGTACTTTCTCTTGATATAACTAATTTTTTTATATTATAGAATTTAACAGGCTAATTCCTCAGTTGTACAGAAACAGATATTCATGCAGTTGAGGCATGTCACCAGTAGAGTTCAACATATCCTTTTCTTGCTTCTACTTATTTTTTTCTTTTGATTTGTTGTTTTTTTTTTCCTTTCAATTCTGATTTCCACCAGCTTTTAAAAGCTCATTTTTGTGCAGTTGCATGGAGGGGATCAACCTGATCACAGCACTTTTTCACATCTTTTCTTCATATAAGAGTATTCCTCCCAGGTTACAGGGAATCCTTCTGAAGAAAAATGGAGACCAGCAAACTCCTGAGAAGTCAGCTCAACCAAAAATTTCAGGATTGTGAAGAGAAAGTAGTACAATCTTTGTATGTATGTAGGCCAGATGACACAAGCAGCCAAAGGTTTTTTTGTTTTGTTTTGTTTTTTTTTTTTTTTTTTAATTTAAGGTAATTGACATTCTGTCAATTTCTTATTGTTGTATGATGTGTGAGGTTGACCTATTCCAAGATTCTCAAACTGGGAATGCTTTTTGCCACCATCCTTAGTGGCAAAAAGTGACAGCACTACACCAGGAATAGCACAAGCTCCACATTTTTCTCATGTGGTATTAACAAATTTGAGTTCCTGGTTGTGCTCTCTGCCTTCAGAAGGGGACTATAAAATGCTCCTTGTGGTCCTAAAATTTTGGAACCTAAAAGTGGACTTCAACTCCAATCTGCAATGGATACTGCTAAGTCCAGCCAGGTAAGGCTTTCTCCCTCACATCAGCATGCTGCCAAACTGCATGAACTTTAGAACAAATGGAAGGTACTCAGTGCTGTTTGTTTTCTCTGTTTGCAGGCACACATTTACAGCAGCCAGGAACAAATTCCCTCCACTGCCTCTCCAAAGAGGGCTAAGTTGGCTAAGTGCTGGCTTATGACGCTGCAGTTTACTATGTTGCAGTAATTTTTGTATCACACATTGGGAAATTTTAGTCCAGAACAAAAAGAACTTAAGCTAAAGAGTAGTCAAACAGAATTTGGATGTTCCATAAGAAAGAATTAATTTACTGCAGCAGCTTATATTACTGCCTGTTTAGCTCTATTTTTAGGTGTTGAGATCTTCTTAGGCACATAGATTAAGTTACAGGATCCTGAATCGAAGAAATTCAAGGGGACCGTGATTGAGATACCACAGTGAGAGTAATTATTCTAAATGAGCTTGACTGGCTCAAATCATATGACAGTGGAGAAAAGAGCATTATTCAGAAACGGATATGAGTTTAAAACATAGGATGGAAGGAAGGAAGATTATTTCTTCCACATGTGTGAAACGAATGAAGATCTTAACAAGCTGGAAGAGCTTTTAAGTTGTAAAAGAGAAAGCTGAACTATAATACTTTAAAGCCAGCTGTCATGCCTCGGGGTTTCTAGTGCAAGTACTTTATTTATTAATATCTAGTAATTAAATATTTTAACATGGCTAGCAGGACTAAGTTCATTACAAAAACACAGCACAAATGAAATTGTGGAGGCTATCAGAAACAGCTGTTGAAACAGTGCAAAATGATGAATATTAAAATGAAAATTGAAATATTACAGGGAATGAAATATCATGTCACTTTTATAACAAAGTACTTTAAAAAAAGAGTTTTGGAAAGTTAAGTGGTGTGGTATCTGGCAAACTCCGTTACTTTGTTGTGTGTGCAGGAATTTTCAGAGGATTCCATGAAAGCAGTAATACTCAGTCTAAGATTAAACATCAGAAGTACTTTCTCCTTCACTCGAAACAGCATCCATGCATGTTCATCGCAAAGTGCATCACATTTTATGGTGGTCACATGGTGGTTTTAGCTGGGACGGATTAAATTTTCTTCATAGTATCTAGTATGGGGCTGTGTTTTGCATTCGTGCTGGAAACAGTGTTGATGACACATGTATGTTTTAGTTAATGCTGAGAAGTGCTTACAAGGAATCAAGGCTTTCTCTGTCTGTTGCTCATGGCTGTTTGGTTTCCTGTCTCTCACCGACAAGTACGCTGTGGGTGCACAAGGAGTTGGGAGGGGATACAGCCAGGACAGCTGACCCCAGCCGACCACAGGGATATTCCCTATCACATGGTGTCATGCTCAGCATATTAAGCTGGTGGAAGAAGAAAAAAAGAGTGGGATGTTTGGAGTGATGGTGTTTGTCTTCCGGAGTCACCGTTACACATGATGGGGCCCTGCCATCTTGGAGAGGCTGAATACCCGCCTGCCCAGGGGAAGCACTGAAATGATTTCTGTTTTGCTTTGGTTGTGTGCATGACTTTTGCTTTTGCTACTATCTGTCTTTATTGCAAAGCAGGAGTTTTCTGGCTTTTATCCTTCTGATTCTTTCCCCAGTCTTGCTGGTTGGGGAGTGAGCGAATCGCTGTGTGGGGCTTGCTTGCTGTTTGGGATTAAACCATCACAACGTTAGAGAGTTGAAGCCACAGCGTTTTTTCCTATTTTATGTACTTGACATACTGCATACTGGTATGTCTCTGTTGCTCTTAATGATTAGGACTGGAAAGATGTTTTAAATGTAGCAATCATCCACTTTCTTTACCACTGCAGCCTGACTGTAATTCTAACTATCCCAAAGTGATGCATTTTTATTTAAAATTCTAAGATGTGTAAGCCTTCTTTCCCTTTTGCCTTATGTTCTTCACGTAAATCTTAGAATTACAGGTTATTAGGTAATTCGTTGAGTTGAACTAAAGGCTAATGATTTTTTTTTTTAAGTCAGAATTTATAACTTAAGTGGAAAAATATCCTACAGCTTTTGCATAAAAAATAGGTTATGACCACCTATTTAGAAAAGCTTGGGAAACACAATATTAGTACCTGTGAAAATGTGTCCACTGATGACACATTTCCAGTTGATGGAAAATTCAAGGACAGATTTCACAAAATGAATCTGAAATCATGGTAATGCAAATGTCTTTGTCTCTGCTTTAGTTGGTTGTGAGATGGCAATGCTTGTGTCTGTCAGTATCCTGCAATACTAACTGGAACTAAGTATATGCTCCTTCCTCTTTGACGAAGCCATCTTTTACAGAAGGGAAACTTTTTAAGCAAAACAGCACAAACCTCTCTGTACTGTCCTCAGACTGCATGCTGTATGATGCCAGAGAACATCAGGTGAACTGCTGGAGGAAACTTAGAAGTTCTGAAGGTGAATTTATGCTCCACAGGGTAAGTGGGGAGTTACACATTCCTGAGAATGAATGACAAGACATTCCCAAGGCCTGCCTTATATATAAGCACACTGTGAAGTACTTGGTACAAATACAGGGCAATAATCAATGGGCCTAAGTTGCAAGATCACAGTTAAATATCAGCAAAATCTCTCTTGATGGGAGTAACAGCATAGATTGTCTATGAACTTTTGGCAAAAGTAATTCAGTGTCTACTGAGACAACGGAATGCAGCTTGAGCAAATGACTTCTGAAAGTCTCTTGCATCTATATTGCTTCTAATTCCTTGTTCTGCACGGAATTCTGGAATGTTCTGGAAGATGCAAACTTTACCTAAAAAATTATTTCAACAAGCAATACTCCAAGATCTGTCAGAAGCTGCAACACTTATCCTTTGAATTCTCTTTCCTCCACATAGTCATATGTGCTCATAAGAGCACAACAAGCTCTTAATAAACTTTTAAAGTTGTTTCTAAGCCTTCAAATGGAAAAAAAAATAATTCTTTTACTTAAAGCCTTAGACCTTAGTGGCCTAAATGCTGCTCTGTCCTGATTGGAGAACAGGAAAAGAGCCTAAAGATCTTTTTTTTTTAGCACGAGGGTGCACGCAGTCTATTTTCTAGAATTTTTAAGTGTATTTTTTTCAATACGGCAGCTCTCGCAGGCATCAGTAAGAGCGGGGTTCTGATTTCCCCGTTTCCTGCAGGGATACACAGGTAATGCAGGATGCCAAGCGCAACTAGCAGGGCGTAACCTCACCCACCTTTAACTACAGCGTCAAACGAGCGGTGCTGCCAAATCCGGGGACCACAAGACGGACAGCAGCACTTTTGAGAACTGCCAGGCGCCCAAGGATGCCCGCATTTCGGGGACCGGTACCCAGTAGAGGACTTAAGAGAGATGCGCTTCCAAGCGCTCAGCCACCGCCGGGCACGGGGCCATCCCTGCAAGCCAGCCCCTCTCGTTTTAAACAAGCACCCTTGCCGCTACTAAGGAGAGGCTTGAGGCGAGTGAGGCGCGCAGCTGCTTCGCCGTGGAGGGCTCAGTTTCGCGGGCAGCGGCGGGGCCGGCGGTGGGCGGGCGGTCTCCGCCCTGTGCCCGAAGCGCGGAACGGACCCTCAGCGCGCCGCGGGCCGGCCCCGCCCCGCGCGTTGGCCCCGCCCCGCCTGGCCCTCAGTGGCTGTCCGCTCTGCCCACCCGCAAGCCCCGCCTCCTCCCCGGCTCTCCGCGCACCTCGATTTGCCGGTCTCCCTGTCAATCACCCGCGAGAGGGCGAGCGGCGCGTCCCGCCCGCAGCGCCTGAGCGCGCTGGGGAGGGGTGTCCTCTCCGAGCGCCGCCGCCGCCGCTCTGTCTCCCTCCTCTCTCCCCTCCGCCCCGGAGCGCCCTCCGGCCAGCCCCCGCTTCCGAGCCCCCGCGGCAGGGGCGGGGCGGGGCGGGAAACGGTGCCGGAGGTGAAGGGCCGCACACCGAGCCTGCGCCCCGCTCCCTTCGTCTCGCCGGTAGGTCTCCGTCCCGGCCGCCTCTCGGAGCGGCGGCAGCCGCAGCACCCCCGTGGGCCGAGGACTTGGAGCGGCTCCCTCCCCGTTCCCCCGGCGGCCGCGGGGCGGGCTGCGTGGAGCGGGACGGCTGTGCCCTGTGCGGGGCCGTGCCCGGGGGTGCGGCGGGGCCGGCGGGCGGCTGCCGCCGGGGGCCTGCGGGGCTCGGGCGGCGCGGGAGGGGCCCCGCGCGTCCCTGCGGCTGCGCTCCCGGCTGGCAGGAGCCGCCGCTGAGAGACCTCCGGGTGCCCTCTCCCGAAGGAGCGCTTCCCTGGCGGGCGTCGAGTCGGGTTTGCGGGAGCAAGTGAGTAAGTTCGCTTTCCTGTTCTGTAGAAGCAGGTTGCTAGAGTGCAGTTGTGCTGGGTTAGCGGGTTAGAGTCAAATTGAGCTGCCAGTGCTCTGCTGTTTTATTTTTGCCTTTTATTTTGCTTTTTATAAAGTTATTTACAAACACACTCTGAATATAGTGGTTTTAAGTTTGGTTAATTAAAGTCTCGAAGAGTGATGTTTGAAGTGATTCGCCGTGGAACTTGTACAGAGCTTATTTTCAGGTATTCCAATTGACTTTGCTGGTACACCCTTAATGAGCGTTAAAGTGACATGCAGCGTGTGAAAGGAATTGGAATGTAATCGAAGATTCTTTTTTTTTTTTAGTGTCCTTTGTACGTAAGAACTTTTGTAAGTACATACGTAGTTAGAAATACATACTGTGCAAAACTATCCTCTATTTTGCATGTCCTTTAGCATGTTTATAAGTAAGGCACACTGTTAAGCATATTAAGCCTTGCTGCCTGGGTTATGGCTGCTTGTAGGGATAAGCAACTTCCCTGCTCTGTAGACTCACACCTTTTCAGAACACAAATTAGTATCATGTAGATGCATTTTGTCCTGAGCTCCGTTGGGATGTTAAAATCCAAAATGGGAATAATGCAATTTCACTTTTAGAGGGAAAAGATAAGGTAGAGGTTTCTGTGTTAACTGTATTTTAGGGGATATCTTCTCTCGACCTCAACATCCTTTAGTCAGTTTCTTTTGAATTGAGAGGTTTCAACAGTTAAACAGTATTTTCAGTGGAAATAGGTGGTATTTTATTATGCTAACTTGAAAGGGAGAAATTACCTTGCAAACAGCAGACTAGTTACATCAACTGAGGATGACTTTCAGCTAATGAAATTAGCTAATGAAATTAATCTTTTCCTCTTGCCATTCTACTTTTGAATCAAATAGTTGTATTGGCTTATAAAATGTAAATTAATTTTAGAATCTAGATTACCAGTTCTGATACAGTGATACATCACATTTTCTGTAGGGATTTTTTTTTTCCTGTGTGATCAAAATAAGTATATTTAAGGTTAGTTAAGACATTCAGCCTGTTTGTTTGGAAGAATTACAGGCCCTATCTTAACCCTTCTGAAGTTTTTCTTCCCTAAGAAAAAAAAAGTAACTGAACCTACATAAGAGTTTTTCCTCATCCAGTTTACTTATTTACAATTAACAAGGCTGATTTTACTTCTTGTGGTAATTTTTCAGTTTTTAATAGTCTCATAATTAGATTAAGTGCATTTTTAAAGCTGATGCAGTTTATCAAAACTTAGTGTCCCCACTGCATCTGCAAGGTTTGTCCCATGAAAATAGGGCTGTTCATGGTTCACTAGTTACTGAATTGTTCTGTGATTAGAAATATCAAAGTTACATGCATTTGTAACATCTTTACTTTTGTCTTAAAAACTTGTTTAAAAAAATATAAGGAAGTTTCCTGCTGTTGAAGATAAATTTAATTTAGTTATGTCTTTGAGACAAAAATAGATCAAATGTGAAGAATAGGGAAGTGCCAGTGGTTACTTTTCTTCAGTATCTTCTAATTATAAGGAGAACTTTCTAAGGAACTGATCAACTGTAGTAACTTTATCTGTAGTAACTGTAGTAACTTTTCTGAAATTATTCCAGCTGAACGTTTTTTGTCAGTCTGTTGTAAACAAAACATGTAGCTACTTCTTGTTCCTTACGTTTTTCTTTTTACTTTTAACTGATTTTTTTGGAGTGTCATACATAAAAGTAATAATGTGATTAGAGGCATACATAAACCACAGGAATCACAAAGTCATAAGGGAGTTTGACACGCTGTTTCTTCAAAGTTTAAGCTCATCGATTCAGCTGCAAATTTATGGCAGGAGTTCTCAGTCAATCCTTCATACCTCACCTGAGGCTGTAAGAGCAAAATGCCTGACAGTACATAGGGGAAGATTGGGACAGTGCTTCTTAGCAGTGGACTGTGTTTTGATGATCTTAAAATGAAGATGATACCTGGGAGTTGTTTAACAATGAAAATTGTATATTTCCAACTAATGTACCCTGGAAGAGTAGGTAAAAAAATTAAAACATGTTTTTTGCTTTGCTTTTGGGCCTTTAACAGTCTTTCAAAGGTATTTTGAGACTTCTATGTAATTGGTTTCCTATGTCTGTTAAAAGGTAAAAAAGTAACTTTGATGTAATTGTTGTATACTTTCTGACAATCCTTAATTTGATTTTTTTTTTTTTGCTATGTAGGCATTTTAATGCTTCCTCGATGCTGCTGCAAAACCAGTGCAGTGAAATCAAGCCTGCTGCTGCTGAGCTTGTTTTTCTAAGTGTATTTCTGAGTAGCATCTTAGACACTGTCACTAATGTTCTAGTGGTTTGTGAGCCAATGCTGAAATAGCTGGGTGAAGAAAAATGTGTGTGTTTAAGCTAAACAGTTGCATGAATAAAAGCAGACTAGTAAGAAAGTAGTTAAACACTAGGCTGATGATCACAGATAAAGGCAGTGACTGGGATGTTTAACCCTCCCTGTGATCTTAGGTAAGCCACTTATAATTTAATGTCTCCTCTTTGGCAAAGGGGAGGTGTAGAAGAGGAGACATCGCACACCAGTCCATGCTGCAGAATAGGTTTGGTTTGTGGTTACTTAGGGAGCTTTCTGAAAGCAGTACTTTCAGAAGTTGTTTTGAAACTCTTAGTAAGTAGTAAAGTACTGAGCTAGGTTAAAAAAGCATGGATTAATTTATTTTAGTTAGATTTAACTCACCTGCTAAATTTAGTTCTAATGTTTTATGGGTGGTATAGTAATTGCCTTAAATTAATAAGCAGGAGGATTCTTTCTAAAAAAAGTTGTAGGGAATATTTATAAATATTAAATATGCAACACTTTGAGAGTATTATAAATGTAATTACCAGTGTTTTCTTCTAGAATGTTTATTGAACTTCATGTTCCTTCATTTGTGATAGAGAGCATTTTTCACAGCATTTTTAACATCCACTCTTCCCTCTCTTGTTTATTCCTTTATGTGATGTTTTTGAGAATGTCTAGAAAAGCTTTTTAATAGATAAAATCCACTCTTGGCTGTTCAAAAAGGGGTATTTTATACAAAATAAGTGTACTGTAGGTATGGAAAGCTGTAAAATTTTCTCGCTGTTTGTGTGTCTGGTGTTCTGCCTTGTGCAGTGGAGTTAGGAATGGGGGGAGACATATTGATCAGTCAGAACTGTCTTTGCAAAAATGTTTACTCAGATAACTGCAGGTCACAGAAGTCCATGACAGACATACGGGTAAGATTTGCGTATTGAAGTAGGTTTATTACTTAATCTGACTTTGTGTAGAACATCACTAATATAATTACAACAGTGTTTTCTCAGGCTTTATGATCTTCTCTGTAAGCTTACTAGCCAGTTATGCTTTTAATATACCAAGACTTTTTAGTAACTGTTTTGCTTAACTGAAATCTATTAGTAATTTAGTGTCATTGTCCTAGAAATAATTTTTCCCTAGATTTACCTGGGTAGTAATTTATACTCTTCATCAACCACGTTTTAATGTTGTAGGTTTTTTTTTTTGTTTGTTTGTTTGTTTTTGTTTTGTTTTTTTTAATTGAGACAGGATGTGGACTGTAACAGTGGTGGATGATATCCTTTTCAGTAGTCCAAAAATACAGAGATATTTTATGACAAGCAGAGCCTAGATTTCAGTTTGAAGTGTGTGGCTTGTCACACTTCCTTACAGTCTCTGGAATTATTCACTAGGTAATTTGTGAGATGCTATGCTCTTTTTTCAGTAAACCATGTACAATAACAGAATGTAGATGGAACAGATTCCAGCAGCAGCATAATTAAAGGTCCTGTTTGGGTGGCAGTTTGTCTGTGGAGGTTGCTGAGAACAAGTGTGGTGTCCTTTAAGAGGTGCACTCAACCATTTGTGGAACACCAGCCATTGCAGCTGTGTTCCAGGCTGTTGAAAAGGCTATCCCTCTCTACTTCCAGGTATTTCCCTGCTTCATTCCCAGCTGTGCAGTTCTCTATGCACTCCTGCTCTGCGTCTTGTCTCTTGTGTCTTCCACTGAGTTGATTCAGCTTCTGTTCAGTATGAGTTACTGTTGAGTGTGTGAGCTTTCTGTGGGGTTAGGAGGTCTAATGGCTTCACTGAGGTGTTGGAGCACTGAGGCTGGAGCAGCAGGAGCAGCAGGTAGTGTGGCCACCTGTAGCAGGAGGGGAGTGCCATTGTGCGAACCCATTATATTGTCTAATTGCATTTTTCATAACAAAATTTCAGACTTAGGTTCTATTGTAGCCTTAAAATGGTTCTTTTTGGTTCAGTATGTCTTTGAGCTTGAAGTGCTAATTATGTAGTAAATGTTGCATCTGTTATGTTGTGAAAGCTGCATGGGCTGTATTTTTGTATAAAATGCTTTAAAGATATGGGCTTCTGGCAGGTTACCTTTGTGATATTGGAAGCTGTGATTTAATCCGAGGTAGGGCACACCTCTGCAGCACAGAGGAAAGTACTATTTAAAAATTGTATTGTTATATGTAGAAAAATCCCATGAGTACCTCTCTGTATTTAAGGCACTAAGCATTTTCTGTTTTAGGTCTCTGAATTTAAATGAAGCAGCCAACATGACTGTATGTAAAGGTGTGGAAGACTTCATATTTCAACAGCTTTTTAATGTAATGGTATAAAGTGATCATCATAACTGGTCTACTCTGGCCTCCAGTCGGGAGGCCTGGAGACACACCATCTATAACGCTGCTGATGCCTTTGAGAACACCCGCAGGATCACTCTCGAGGAGAAAAGACAATGCAGAAAGAACCGTGTCTTGCAGGATATACCACCTAAGGAGTCTTTCTGCTGTGCCTTTTGCAACTGGACCTGTCTATCTCATATTGGCCTTTTTAACCACCAACGTGCGTGTAGCAAATGTGGGTAGAGCCCTTCCCAAATCTTTGTTCGTGAAGCCCAGCCATGATGATGATAAAGCAATCTTAGAAAGGAG